TTACTCTCACATCTACAGTACATTGTTTTACAAAGGTTTGGATCTTGGAGGTCTATGCCGTTAACAAATGAATCTTGATTCAAATTATTTCGATCAGTTGGCTGTCAGTGTATGGACTGGTGTCAAAGAGAGCATCTTTCAGACATTTATGTTTCGGAGAACAACATATTTTGGGGGTGGATTGGTCATGGTTTGACGAGGAATTTCCCATGGTTTAAAGACATCTTTAATAATCACTAATGGGAGGTTAACAGCTGTGCTTGAGGCCTCATGCTGTGTCTTTTATTTTTAGGCACCATTTGACTTTTAAGCATGATAATGCTAGGCCACACCTTGCAAGGGTTTGTAGGGATTTTCTTGCAACCCAAAAGACATCATCCCTTCTGACTGGCATGCATATAGCCCCGATTTGTCCCCAATCAAACACTTGTGAGACAAATTTTACACAGAAGAGTTCAGAATGAAGTAAACATCCCAAATGACCTTGGCCAATTGGCCAACGCACTTACCGAGGTATGGAATAACATTCCTCAATGGACAATCAATATCCTTATGACCTCCATGCCACGTAGAATTAGAGACGCTGTTCGGGGAGAGCTTATATGATATTAGGCATTGGTCCGGCAACTGCTATTATTTCAACTTTGTGAACATTTAGGTACCCTAATTCATGGTGGCCTAATGAAGGTTTATTTTTTTTTTAGAAATTTCAGAGAATTTGAAGATGGATGGGCCTTTATTCTGTGTTGACTATTGTATTTCACATTTAGGTATATTTCTCATAATCAGTATTTAAAAAATCAATTAATTTTGTTTTATTGTCCCAGCATAAGATAAGGGTATTGCCACGGTTGAGAGCCCTGGGGTCAATCCCCCTAACAACAAGATTATTTTATTAGACTGTAAATTTAAAGTTAAAGTTTCTTTTTCCACTTAGAATATTTATAAATTGTGTTTCTAATGTCGTTACCATGGTAACACTATATCATATTTATACAGAAGTCTTTTACAATCTTAATTTACACGATAGTAACTCTATCTCTATGATGAAAGTCATGATCTCCAATCAATAATTTGTCCTATGCTGGGTACTTCCTATGGTCATTGTGTGACGACTAACTCCAACTGAAATTTAATAATAAAGTAAAAACAAGTTTCATCTAATGAAAACAAAAGTAACTCTTTTTATTACTGCATTCTGTGATCCAATGGAAGCTTTTATTTGCATTTTTTTTGCTTTAAAAGATATTTAGAGAAGGAATCTGAATCGGTGTTATAATTCCGTAATAGAAATATCCAGAAACAGGGCCTTGTGAACCTCGTATTGTTTACAGTTAATGTATTTAATTCTAAAACAAAAAGGAATGAAAAAAATAATTTGATGTAACTAAATCATGATTTAGAGTTACAAAAGCTGATCAGTAGACTGTGAAATTACATGGTAATTGAGTGGAGGTCTTGTTGTTATGTATATAATTCAGATTTAAGATTTTAACTTACTGATTACATAATGCAACACGGGCTACTGTCTGTTTTCAGTGTGCTACACAGTGCCATAATTATCTCGATAGTTTTGGAGGCTGACATTATAGGGGGGCCACTAAAAAACAGCTGTGGTGGGAAAATGTTCTGTTTTTCATGTACATGTGATACCCAGGAATGTTTACATATGTAAAATGTCCCTACATCTGTCAGCTGTACTATGTTGTGTTGCTGTTAACTCCTGTATAGGGGCCCCCTCTACCAGATACTGTTTGTTCCTGGCACCGTCTGTTGTTATTTTATAAGTAAAACATCTGAATCTCTTGTCAGCTCTATTGAAAGGTAGGGACATTTAACTTTGAACATGTTTAGTTTTTCAATTACACTAACAGTTATTAAATGCATGTTTTATTCTGTTGATGTCTCAACAGAGAATTATTTCATGACATCAGTTTTATTGAAGAAGAAAACCAACTGGTATCCAAAAAGATGCCTGTATGTAAACATAGATCTATTTTTTTTTCCAATACAGTCTTAAATACTAAAATTTTGGGACTTTTATGGTTTTAATGTATTTGGTAATTTGTTTTCCCATTCTTTTTTTTTTTAGGAAATTTTTAATAAAATTCTGCAGAGAAATCCTATTTCCATTGAGACAGTAATGTTCCTGAAGTATGTGTACGGAGACTTGATGACAGCATTACTAATAATCTAATACATTATGTCATGTTTACAAGAAGAACAACAGATAACAGAACAATGAAGTGTTGTATCAACAGTAAACAACATGTATCTGTTACCTGAAGGTTTCACAAGGAGCATGATAAGGTTGTTGTAGACGTCACATCACAAACGCTGCATATAAGTTATACACGTGATGTAAGGTTGGCTTACTGAAGAAGTCACTCGGAGTGCATATCTGTGTCTTTAGTGTAAACTATTAACCTTTTTATAAATGATTGACACCATCTTATGTCTTTAAGACATTTCAAGATCCTTAATTGACTGCTTGTGGTATTGGCATATTGCAATATTTTAAATGTTGATAATTATTTAATAGTCAAATGTGTTATGGGGTTGAATTAACATTTACTCGTCCATATTTCATTTGGTCACATGAACATTACTTAGCAGCACTTGATTTCTGTGTCAAAAGTGCACATAAGTTCATTGAGGTTATGAATGCTTAAACGGAAATGATGCGAGAGTTAATGTCATTGTGTTTTTAACCATAGGTTATTTAAGGTCAATCCATTACACAATTGACACACAAAATTTATGGTTATCGTATCCTGCTTGCCCATCTGAAACACTTAAATTTGTACAACTTTTGTATCTTTTATGTATCATAAGTCAAAAGGTTACATCATTACCTCATGGATCCTCTTATCGTGCGGTAAATCTCATTTCTCAATTGAATGTAGAAAGGAACTTGCCAACGACATCATCAGTTTTTTACGCTTGAGTAACAGGTTTGAATTTTCAGCTTAAAATTTTTTAGATCATAAAAGTGAATTTTTATATTAAAAATCTTCATGCTGTAATTCACTGACTCTCATAACACATTGCAAAATATCTGCTATAGTTATAGTTGTCTAAAGTTAATTGCTTTCTTCAATCAGAACAGGTTATGCATTAGTGAACAGGTGTATGGAAATAACAGAGAATTATCAGTACTTGTCAAGTAAAATAATTTGTAAGTCAGTTCCTCAAGCCTGTCCACTGAATATTTTAGTTTGTTCAGGCTTTGTAATTGATTCATTCTACTGTATTTGAAGAGATCATTGAACATTTCTGGCAGATAGATATGTTATAAACATCTCAGTAAACATATTATTTACTTTCATTTGTATTTAACACAATTTCAATAGGTTTGAAATTACCCACCTCCCCCCAATAAACCATAAAGTTGAATGTGAGAATTAATGACATAATACCCACAGAACAATTTTTTGTCATGGTTTCCCAACATAAAAAATTTCTATTTTCAACCCCAAAGAAATCATCGGACTTGAAGTCAACATTTTACTTAGGTCCTGCAACAATGATTAATGATTTAATAATGTGACTTCCTTGTTGTCCAGCAGCATCATCTCTTCTTATCTTCATAATTTTAAATTGTGCTTCCAGTAACTTTTATTCTTGTTTGTTAACTGGATAAATTGTTGAAAGTCCAATAACTTGAGCTTTGGTCTGGACATTCTTAGGGTATGAAGTGTACATATTTAAATCCAGGGGTCATGATTCATGGTATGAATGGTGTGTTTCCATACTAGAAATTTTTCTTAATGTCTCTTGACACAACTTAACCACAATTGTAGATTAAGTGCAAGTGAAATTAAGAAAAAAAAGTGACCAGGTATAAGTGAAGATAAATGAATTAACATCAACTGATAACCACAATTTCATAAAGGATGAATAGTCTTAGAAAAAGTACTAAACAATGAAAAAATGATATTAAAGACTAAAACATGTAGGCATCGTATGGCCTTTACTGGCATGTCATATTACATGTACATGTCTTTTCAATAAAGCTGAAGCAGTTTTTGATAAATTATATAACTGAGGTTGTGCATCATGAAACGATGCATAAATAACTTCATTTGGAACACTCAGCAGAGAAGTTACTTGTTACATCTCTGTCCAGCTGATTGATTGTCACATAAACATGAATAGGATAACTATTTACAAAATTTGTAAAGAGGGTAGCTCGCAAATATGCTAATTCTGGCTCTCTACAGTTCAATAAACATTGAGTGACTGCATCCTCATAATAACACAGTTTCTTTCTATGATTTTGATACATATTGTAATAAAATCTCAACCTTGAGGATCCAGTTAATTCAAACATCAATAAAAGTAAATTAGCAATATAATTTTGTAAATATAAACCAGTGTCATCTTGTCTTAAATATAGAAGCTTACGTCTGTATACGTGTTAAAATGAAAAAGCTTCCAAGTTCTGCACAGTCTATAGTGTAAGCTTAATATGTGTAGTTTCTGTTTTACAAAATATACACATGATACAATTTAAATGTTGCAGCCATCCCAAAAAGTTTATCTAAACAAAAAATTGAAAAAAATGTTGAAATGAAATATAACATTGAACAGTTTACGTACTGTTTTTATTAAAATGTTGTAGCTTTATATAGGTATAAAAGGCCAGGATAAACCCTGTGCACAATAATCTATTTATATGAGTATTGCACCATTTCGTGAGGTCTGATTCACAAAATAAGTCATTGTCGTTAAAGTTAGTTCCTGTTGTGGTTGTTTAGAAGGTAAAACGTGATGGTGACAAGGATCCAGCTATTTATTTTTTGTATTTCAGGTAGAGAGAGAGAGAGTAGGACTTGTGCCTAGTCAACCTCAACTTTAAATACCGGTGTATTTAAACACACTAGACTGTACATTGTATGGAGCAAACTCCATCCTGTATTGGTCCATTGTACCCAAGGTGTTTAATCCCAAGGTCATTTGAGGTCAACTAACTCAGTGTTCCTGATAGCTGTGAAATCATGGCAAAATCCCACAGAGAAAACTCGGCCAGTGGTCAAGGTATCACCAATCAGGGAGTGGACATTGAGGACTACCTACACCCACAAGGTCAAGACTCGGTCAAGATGACCTCTGTTCTGCAGCCCAACAAACCACATGCAGTGCCTGGTCTCCGATACACTAAGAACAATGCCAAGGCCAATCGTTTTGACTCAGGTAAAATATTTCATTTTCATTTTCAAATTGGATAAGTGAATATTGAACAGCTCAATAATAAACCCATGCCTGGTAATAAGTCCACCCACATCAATTGGAAAAAGTAGAAATGTGAACAAAGCTATATAATGGTCCTGTAATTAAAAATCCTCCCTCTACTGGAGTCAAGAGTTAGGTGTGGGTCACCTGGACATATTATGCGATAGAATTTATTTTTTTCACTTCATTTTTCTTTCTTTTTTTTTTCATTTGAAAATGTAGCTTTCTTCAACATTGTCTTAACAATACTGAAGACAAGGTATATACTTTTCTATTTCTGTCTGCACATCCTTATATCGGCATTACATATCCCTTCTGATGCCTTTTCTATGTACATGAAGTTAATGAAAATGTCAAGCTGATGAAAAAGTAGAAATCAGATTCTTTCTTCTCATCTTCTTGAGGATTGTTACACTTCAGAATCAGCATGTAGTATTTGTAAGTATAAAGTGAAGCTGTCAAACTGATGAAAAAGTAATGAGAGCTAGGTTCTGCTCATCCTTACCAAGTAGCTAATTGAATCTGGTATTGATTTTGTGAGGTTCAGTATGATGTTGTTGCCTCCTCCCTTAAACAGTATAGTCATGGATGATATTCTCTGGGTTCTTGACAAAAACACTAATTGGTAGGAGACATCTCTAATGGACCATGGCCCCCGTTTTTTAAAGTTTGGTTAGCTTTAACTCCTTAAGGATGTATGCTAATATCCTTTAATTTATCTCCTGTCCTTATGACTTATACATTGTCAATCATTTGTCCTGGGATGTTATAATAGACTGAAAAATGCTCAGGAATCAAATTTATGGATTTGAAGGGGAGATAACTCTTTTAACACTAAATACAGGTAAATGTAAAATTCATGATAACAGTATTAAACACATGTAGTACAACACTGATGAGTTCCTTTCATGATCAAAGCCCTTGGAAATTTTTATTTGGAAGGTTGTATGTGATTTGCGATGAAATGTTATCCTAATATGACAAATGAAGTGAAAGTGAATGTTTTATGATTGCTGAATACAGAATTAGAAACCACTAACTGCAAGGATTTAAATATTTAAAGTGTTTTATTCTGCTCATTTGATTTATGAAGATTATAATACTTTACAACTTATTTAGTTGTTTTTCTGATAGAAATTATCTACAAATATATTATATGAGTTTAATAGATTTCAGAATACAGAGATTAAGTATAATAGCTAATGTTATGTCTTTCATGTAGGGAACATTTACACCAGCCCTGAAAGACCAAAAATCAGCAGTCATCTTCAATAGCAGAAAAGATTTTAGAAGATGTAAAACTTCTCATAATCAAGGATTTGAAAAAATAATGATATTTTCAATGCAAGAAACAAATAATTGAAGATATTTATCGCATGAAACAGCTAAAACCAGTCACTAATGTGTATTGGGTTATGGGTTAGGAAATTGGGACAGATTTAGATTGCCATTACTAGGGATTCTGACTGAAGCTTAACAAAACTTAACACTATAGAAATAATGGTTGTCAGATGAGAAGATTTCAGTTAAAACATGTTGTTTTTTCTAGAGAAACCAATTTAAATATTATACGCTGTGTAAAACTTATGGCAAATTTTTAATTAGCGGAGATCAGTATTGAAAACTTTGTGTGTTTAGTTTAAAAAAAAAATCATAAGAGAAAAGGGATAATGATAGTAAACATTATTTGGGATGGGAAGGCTTCAAATTGCTGTTTAGATCATTCTGTGACTTTGACACAATGGCAGGATTTGCTGCATTTATTGGCTTCGTTATCGACTATAACATCATTATTCTATTGTTTCGCTAATATTGACAGGAAATGTAGAGGCGAACTGTACATATTTTATAACATAGAGAACATTTTATCTGCTGTTAATGGTTTTATGTTTTCCAATGTAGTGATGTTTTTTGGCTTAGATGAAGCTGACATTACCTGTACTGTAAATTCATTCCATTACCTATTAATTGTGACAGGGAATTCCATGTCGTGATGGCGTGGGAGACATGCAAGTTTTAAAGATGCAGCGTATATCTATATTGAGAGATTTTTTTAATACTGATGATAAGCCATTCCACACGGACTTGATCATTTCCATAAAAAGCTGGGTCTACTGATCGTTACCACCAACTTAGTTTGAGATAGGACAATATTGTCCCTTGAACACAATAACACATTCCTATATATCTGGTGTGGGTGGGTATTGATTTATATGACATGCAAATATTAACAGGATTATGTGAACATGGAGTGTGGGCTGTTTTTTCACAGTCTGTTATTTTCAGAATCAGATAGATTGCTTGTTAGCAATCAGAAAAAATAGGATCAAAGGATGTTTTTTATGGACAGAATTAATGGCAACGTCAGCACAATTTTGAAAATACCAATGGCATTTATGATCTTATAAATCAAATTCAACACAAGGCTTAGTCAATCAAGATGTAATGAAGCTTTATCAAGGTGAATGAGAAACTGTGAATACCATTATACAAGCAAGAATTGTTTAGATCTAGTTATTAGCAGGAAATGCTGTATATAATTGGATATTGTTGCTCTCGGTTTTTACAGTATGTTTGATGAGGCATTTACAAATCTGTTTTTCCTGTCCAGGATTATGCCAATCTTTTCAAAAGTGTGAATGTTTCATAAGGCGTCAAGCTTACTCAATAATTTTCATAGCTATTACATTTTGGGATAGATTTACCAGGTAGTTTCACATTTTGAGACAGATTTACCAGGTAGTATCACATTTTGAGACAGATTTACCAGGTAGTATCACATTTTGAGACAGATTTACCAGGTAGTATCACATTTTGAGACAGATTTACCAGGTAGTTTCACATTTTGAGACAGATTTGCCACATAGCATCACATTTTGAGGCAGATTTACCAGGTAGTTTCACATTTTGAGACAGATTTACCACGTAGCATCACATTTTGAGACAGATTTACCAGGTAGTATCACATTTTGAGACGGATTTACCAGGAAGTTTCACATTTTGAGACGGATTTACCAGGTAGTTTCACATTTTGAGACAGATTTGCCAGGTAGCATCACATTTTGAGACAGATTTACCAGGTAGCATCACATTTTGAGACAGATTTACCAGGTAGCATCACATTTTGAGACAGATTTACCACGTAGCATCACATTTTGAGACAGATTTACCACGTAGCATCACATTTTGAAACAGATTTACCAGGTAGCATCACATTTTGAAACAGATTTACCAGGTAGTATCACATTTTGAGACAGATTTACCAGGTAGCATCACATTTTGAGACGGATTTACCAGGAAGTTTCACATTTTGAGACGGATTTACCAGGTAGTTTCACATTTTGAGACAGATTTGCCACATAGCATCACATTTTGAGACAGATTTACCTGGTAGTATCACATTTTGAGACAGATTTACCAGGTAGCATCACATTTTGAGGCAGATTTACCAGGTAGCATCACATTTTGAAACAGATTTACCAGGTAGCATCACATTTTGAAACAGATTTACCTGGTAGCATCACATTTTGAAACAGATTTACCTGGTAGTATCACATTTTGAGACAGATTTACCAGGTAGTATCACATTTTGAGACAGATTTACCAGGTAGCATCACATTTTGAGGCAGATTTACCAGGTAGCATCACATTTTGAGGCAGATTTACCAGGTAGCATCACATTTTGAGGCAGATTTACCAGGTAGCATCACATTTTGAAACAGATTTACCTGGTAGTATCACATTTTGAGACAGATTTACCAGGTAGTATCACATTTTGAGACAGATTTACCAGGTAGCATCACATTTTGAGGCAGATTTACCAGGTAGCATCACATTTTGAGGCAGATTTACCAGGTAGCATCACATTTTGAAACAGATTTACCTGGTAGTATCACATTTTGAGACAGATTTACCAGGTAGCATCACATTTTGAGGCAGATTTACCAGGTAGCATCACATTTTGAGGCAGATTTACCAGGTAGCATCACATTTTGAAACAGATTTACCTGGTAGTATCACATTTTGAGGCAGATTTACCAGGTAGTATCACATTTTGAGACAGATTTACCAGGTAGCATCACATTTTGAAACAGATTTACCTGGTAGCATCACATTTTGAAACAGATTTACCAGGTAGCATCACATTTTGAGGCAGATTTACCAGGTAGCATCACATTTTGAAACAGATTTACCTGGTAGTATCACATTTTGAGACAGATTTACCAGGTAGCATCACATTTTGAAACAGATTTACCAGGTAGCATCACATTTTGAAACAGATTTACCTGGTAGTATCACATTTTGAGACAGATTTACCAGGTAGCATCACATTTTGAAACAGATTTACCAGGTAGCATCACATTTTGAAACAGATTTACCAGGTAGCATCACATTTTGAAACAGATTTACCAGGTAGCATCACATTTTGAAACAGATTTACCAGGTAGTATCACATTTTGAGGCAGATTTACCAGGTAGTTTCACATTTTGAGGCAGATTTACCACGTAGCATCACATTTTGAGACAGATTTACCAGGTAGTATCACATTTTGAGACGGATTTACCAGGAAGTTTCACATTTTGAGACGGATTTACCAGGTAGTTTCACATTTTGAGACAGATTTGCCACATAGCATCACATTTTGAGACAGATTTGCCACATAGCATCACATTTTGAGACAGATTTACCTGGTAGTATCACATTTTGAGACAGATTTACCAGGTAGCATCACATTTTGAGGCAGATTTACCAGGTAGCATCACATTTTGAAACAGATTTACCAGGTAGCATCACATTTTGAGACAGATTTACCAGGTAGCATCACATTTTGAGGCAGATTTACCAGGTAGCATCACATTTTGAGACAGATTTACCAGGTAGCATCACATTTTGAGGCAGATTTACCAGGTAGCATCACATTTTGAGACAGATTTACCAGGTAGCATCACATTTTGAGACA